TAAAATTAACTGCGTTCCACTCACCATTCCTGACTGCTTTTCATAGTATAGAAACATCCCACATCTGAGTTTTGCGATGTGTAAGGACTGGGTACCCAGGTTCAGAACACATGAGAAGCTGGGTCATTTTCTGTTCATCTCTAACTGCCAATTAGCAATGTCATTAATCCACTGCTTAGGAGAAGTTCACGATTAAAATAGACGGTGTCACTGACCATTGACAAGACAAAGCGCAGAAGGTGCTGTCGCTGCCTGTCAGTGCAGTTAAAGCTCGGTCTCATTTTCCAGAGGGAAGTAACAATGCCTTAATTTCTCTGCATCCTGGGGTAAAGACAGACACATTACGCAGGCTTTGAGTATTGCATTATATGGTGTTCAGGACAGGGAATCTGCAGCAGACCCTGGGAGAGCGAATGCACCACCTGTCCTCATTATCAGACAACTTTGGTTAGAGAACACGTTGTGTCCGCCTTAGCCGCAAACGTCCTTCGCTGTGTTCGCCCACAGAGCCACCCCAAGGCTCTTTGGGGGTGGCAGATTTGAATTTTGCCTCCTCAAGGATGAGTATCTGAAGCTGGGCCAAAGCTCTGTTTCCTACTGGCGAGAGAAGAGGGAGGGGGGAAGAGGCGTGGGAGGGCTCAAGGGGTCAACCTTGCTTTTTCTGCTGCTCCGGGGACAGCAGGAAGACGCTGGTGGTGCATGGCTGCTGCCAGGAAGGGCTGACCTCTAGCTGGAGACCACAAACCCTCGGTGACAGTGGCCAGCCTGGTTTTCCAAGGCCACAGATAAAATAAGCAACGACCTAGGACAGCAGACAGTGGAGGAGACAGAGGGGCACAGTGCTGCTGCTTGCTCCCGGCTGTGTTGGACCAAAGGAATTTTGTTCTGTAGTAGGGATTGCACTCTGGCTTGCTTGCTTAAGAAAAAGATTGCCAAGGCTTTAATTTATTCCCCACCTATGGATCAAATCCCTCAGCAAGACAGGAGGGTTTTTGGTTTTGTTTTTTTTTCCCCCCAGATCTCACTTTTGAGGGAAACAAATTTCCATGACAGAGGATGAAATACTAGGAATATTTTTTGTAGGTGGATCTTCCAACTTCTGGTTTGTAGCCACACTAATTTGTGGGTGACGGAAATATTTTGGTACTGAAAACTTGCCAAAATGCTGTTTAACAGGGAATTGCAGTTTAATTAGCACTTATGAGGCATTAACAATAATTGTATTCAATTTGGCCACTCAGGATAAAGTGTGATTCAGGATCAGCTGGTTGGTGCTCTAAGAGGGGAAAAAAAAAACCCGAAACAAAACATTGCTGTGTAGTCTGGTGAATATGTGCCTTTAGCTTTGTGTTCATAGGTAGAAGCTTTTGTGGCTGCTCACCTCTCTCTTCCCGTGAGGTGCTGTGTTGGACTGGGGAAATGTGGAAGGAACTTGTGTTAACTGGAAGGAAACGCTTTGACTTCAGGTTCATCTTTTGCAGCGGGCTGGATTACAGCTTATCCCTGCTATCTCTGTGATTTTGAGGAAAAGTGCCAGAAACTTTAAAAAATTCTTCCATTTACTTATTTTGCTCTGCTTTGCCAAGGAATGAGAAAGCCTGCCGCTTTTAGCAAGCGCGTGAACAAGAAAGGCAAGGGAACCCAGAGCGAAATTTGACGTGCAGACTTGTGTAAGGTGCAGGATAGCCATAAACTTCCCTTGAATATTTCTTGTTTTCTTTGCAGCAGAGTTCATTATTCTTCTCTCTGAGTTCTGAGGCTGTAGGTGAAACCAAAGACAGGGCCACAAAATGATTGCAGTTTCAAAGGCCCAAACAGAGAAAACAAACTACATACAATTTAAACGTCTGTTTGTGCGCAAGCTACCGCAGAAGCCTGATACGTACACCAGTATGATAGAAGGCAACGGAGATGACCTGATTAGCAAACCACTTGCAATGAGCTGAGGAAATCCCTGCTGCACCAGCGCTCCTGCCCTTGGAGACCTGCAGCCAGTCCCAGGAAGGAAACCTTCCCGCAGCAACAGAGCTAGCGCAGGGTTTCTGAAAGCGGCAGCAAAGGTCTCTGTATATGTGAAGGTGAGGGAAGCAAGAAGAGTAAAATGAGCCTGCACAACTCTGCAGAATAGCTGGGGTATTGTGAGAGATGCAACGTGAGTTACTTGGGCTTTGTGAGCAACGTTAGTGGGAATTTGGGAGCGCTGTGTTTTGGAAGGTTGCATTTCAGCAAACGGCTCACTCTGTTCTGTTGTGCTGTTTATCCTGTTGGATGAAAGCCATCATTCAGCAGAAAGAAACTCTAAGGCAAGATAAAGTAAGTGATCTTCCAGTTTGTAAGCTCTTCCAGCCTTGCTTCCATATGTGTTGAGCAGTCAGAGGTCCACAGACTTGAATGGGAACTTGTGGTGCTCAGTACTTACTTCGGTTTATTGTTCCATGTCAGAGAAACAGAGACAAAAATCTATGTACGTAAGAGGACACGTAAGATACCAGGCTTTCTCTGTCTCTCATGAGTACATATAAATATACACAATTGGTATGAGGTCTTCTGGTTATTTTTTTGCATTACTGTGCGTGGAGAGTCCACAGGCTTGTGGCAGAAACGCAGGGTTTTAGGTGAGGAGTACAGGGAGCTATTTCTGGCTCTACCCTAGCTACTTGTGTGGCCAAGTGTATTAAATCCTGCTTCTGAAGACAGCAAACTGTTTATTCGGGCTTCATTCTCAGTCTTGCTGAATACCCCAAAAGGCTGCTATTATTAGAGGGAACTGCCGTTCCTTAACTCTGAAAGCGGGTTGTCTGTAAATCGCCAACCTGTGCTTTCCACGGGGAGGTGGGACCAGGACCTCTGCTTTCCCCCTGCCCGCCTGCAGAGCTGGCAGAGCTCCCACTCTTCCTCCTTTCTGCTCAGCCCCTCCACTGAGGGTGCGTCCTCCCGCTCACGAGGCTGGGGGTGGCTGTGCTGCCCATCGTACCCTGGGCTCTCCACACAAGCATAGCGTGGCTTCCTGCTGCTGCTGCTGCTGTGGTGGGACAGGGTCCTTCATGCGCTCCATGCAAACAACCTCCTGGTGACCTGTTTCTACCTTTCTTCCTCCCCTTGTTGAGGTAGCGGTGGTTACTGAGGAAAATGTAACTTGTCCTCAAGAAGTGGTTTGCCGTTACATAAAGTTTACGGTGTGTCTTTCACAGCCTGGTTTGGGTGCAGGAGGTTGCTTTCATCCCTGTGTGTGCTGTTGGTGCCAGGGTTAGCACTGTGGAGCAGAGAGCCATCCCCAGGGGACTCAGCTCTTCCACTACATCGGGTGTAGGTGGGGACATCCATCCCACGTCCTGGGCAGCGCAGCCACACGCTAGCTCTGGGCACGGGCTGGGGCTGGGGCATGTTTCTTCTTGTCAGTGAGGGTGCCAGAGCACTGGCCCAGGCTGCCCAGAGAGGTTGTGGAGTCTCCTTCTCTGCAGACATTCAAAACCCGCCTGGACGCCTTCCTGTGTAACCTCATCTGGGTGTTCCTGCTCCGGCAGGGGGATTGGACTGGATGAGCTTTGGAGGTCCCTTCCAATCCCTAATGTTCTGTGATTCTGTGGTTCTGTGATGTTTGAGCCCTGTCTGTGCTGGTTTTTACTTTTCTTTTTAAGCAATAAATGCATCTCTCTGGCAACAAAAATATCAATTCTCTTCTGTAAATGAATCGCTCAAATATTTTGCAATTGCAGACTGTTTTGATGTTGGTGCCTGTGCTGATAGTAGTCTGCTGTGATCTGATCTGGCTGTGTCCTTGCTCTGGATGGGGTTTGCTGTAAAAGTACTTTCATTCCTTAGCTCCCATTAGTGCCTTGATGAATAGTAGATGTGTTTCAACAATTTTTATTATTAAAAAGCAACATCTTACTGTTGTATGGTCTCTGGTGCCTTTACCCTGTTCATTAAGCTTTGCCTGGGAGTAACAGCAGTGATTTAGAGCTGCAGCATCAACAGCAGTCTTGGAACCTTGTGTTTTCTTTAACCGTAAATTCTGAGGCAGGAGGAGAAAGGGGGATGAAGGAGGAAGTCTTAACAGTAGGGTTTGTTCTGACATTTCCAGGCCGGCTGTTTGAAGCCATGATTCCTCATGGAGATCAGACTCATTTACTCTTGACTCTCTCGTTGGGTTCCCAGACAGGGCCCCCTTGGGCAGCTGCTCTGGAGCACACCTGGACAGGGTTTGGAGACACCGACCTGGATCAGGGCATGCATTTGCACTCCGGGTCCACTGCTGTCACCGGCACTCGTGCTAATGGCCTTAGTACTGAGGTCAAAGACTGCTTAGATATGAAGGCTGAATCACCTCCTTTTTAAACCCCTCAGCAGGATCAAGGCTTAGGGAAGCAGGCACGTGGGCTTGCCTTCTGGCTGGCAGCGTGGATGGAGAGTGTGACTGTGGGACAGGCCTTTTGGCAGTTTTGACCAACTATCGAGGCAGTGAAACAGGGATGTCTGGTGATTAAAGCACCCCTGCACCGACACCCCTATGTGAAAAAGTGTCATGCATTCATTTTCCTTGAAGGTTTGCTGATCGCACAAGCTCTTCCTAGCAGAGATTTATCCTGTGACCTGAGGATCACCGAAATCAGTGGTGAGCCCATCAGTCTAACAGACAGCTATGAAAGAGTTTCAACTGCACTTACTTAACTTGCAAATATCAATAAGTTAGCAGCATAGGTCTTCACACACAGAATCACACAGAATCGCTCGGTTGGAAAAGCCCTCTGAGATCATCATGTCCAACCGTTCCTGTCTACCCACTAAACCATATCCTTAAGTACCTCATCTACCAGCTCCTTAAATACATCCAGGGATGGTGACTCCACCACCTCCCTGGGCAGCCTGTTCCAGCTTCTGACGACCCTCTCAGTGAAGAACTTCCTCCTTATCTCTAACCTGAACCTCCCTTGGCACAGCTCGGTGCCGTTTCCCCTTGTTCTATCCCCCATCACCTGGGAGAAGAGACCAGCACCCACCTCTCTACAAGCTCCCTTGAGGCAGTTGTAGGTGGTGATGAGGTCTCCCCTCAGCCTTCTCTTCTCCAGGCTAAACAACCCCTTCAGACCTGTTTGCCTTGGCAGTGTCCCATTCACATGGATCAGAAGATGGTAGCAAAAAAGCACTAGAGGCCCATCCAGAGATCGGTCTCCCCTCCATGAGGAAACCTGCCCACGCAAGCGGGTTGATTTGGAGATTACCGACACAGCGCGCAAGTCTGCGCTAGGTCCCTGCATTTTGACCGATCCTGCCTGCAAAGGGTGCTTGTTTTCACGAGCAGTGGTGGTGCAGTGTCCTGGCTTTAGAAACCATGTGGTGCATGAGGCAGGAGAGGCCTGGAAGAAGCAGCTGTGGCAATGTCCTTTGCTCCTGTAACTTAGGCCCCTGGAAGGGAGGGGAGCTACTGTGTTTCAAGCTGAGAAGGAGGAGGTCGGTTCTTAAGGCTGCTGCATCTTTGCAACTTTTGGTAGGTCTCTGGAGCATGCTGTGCCTTACTTTCTAAGGTGTAAAATAGGGACAGAAGCTAGGAATTTAAAAACAAACAAATAAGCCTTTGAAGAAACATGCAGTTCTAACCTGTGCCATCACCACCATGAGGTCCTTGTGTTGGTTTGAGCTTCGAGGCTGTGGTTTAATATTGATAACAGTAAAAATTTCTCATTATATTAGCGATTTGGAACTTAGAAAATACACGTTTTTAATTATTTTTTAAATTTTATTTATTTTTTTTTTTTAATTTCAGCAAATTCAGTAAAGCTAGAAATGCAAAGTGATGAGGAATGTGACAGGAAGGCCCTGAGTCAGGAAGATGAGATCAGGGCTCATGATGAAGGAAGCATCCTGGAAGAGCCCCTCACTGAGAGTAACGAGATGGCGGATAACAGAAAGATCCAGGAGCTATCGAGCGAGGGAGGAATCCGGCTTCCGAATGGTAAACTGAAATGTGACGTCTGTGGCATGGTTTGCATTGGGCCCAATGTGCTAATGGTACATAAAAGGAGCCACACTGGTAAGCAGCTGAAAGAAAACCTGATGACTGCCTGCGGCATCTGATGTTGATATTACTTGACAACTCTTCTCTCTTCCCTTTTCATTCATGGGGTAGCAGGAGGCTGGGGAGGGGAAGGATGGGCTTTGTTGGTTTGGTTCTCTTCCTGCTTCACAGATTCTGGTGGTTTCTGGCAAGCGTGGGGCTTCCTTCTTGTTGATTTCCAGCCTTTGGTTCTTAAAAACAGCACGCAAGTCTGGAAATTGCCTTTTTCTCTGTTCTGGACCAGGTGCGAGATGGTGAGAGTCATTCTCTGATATGCAGATGTGTGTGTGTTTGTGTTCCTGTGAGCACATGTGCAAAGCTTTTGAGCCTTTAAGGTAAGCCTGAGATGGTCTTCCCTTGGAGGTGGTCCCGGGTGGACAATGCCAGCAGGTTCCTGGGGATCTCACACCTCCTTTGCAAGTGGCTGGGCACGATGCTGGTGGCTCAGCAAACCCCTCACGGGACACTCATTAACTAACGAGCCTGATGCTGGGGTGGGCTTGCAGCTCATGACATGACAGCTCTGTCAGGGAAACCTCACTTGAACCACTCCTGTGAGCTAACACTTGGCTCCCCCTCGCCATCCAAGTACCATTTTTGTGGCATCTTTCAATGCTTGAACTTACCTATCATTAACTTCTATTACTAGTAGTAGTAGTACTACTACTGTTTGGAGACCAAAACAGCTTACTAGGCTTATGAATCTGACAATTCAAGAGGCAGACAAAACCTTTGAGAGGTGATAATTGATGGGGCCTGAAAGATGAGGCCTCAAGTTTAAAACAGGGAATTTCAGGAGGGTTTTAGCTAATAGACGAACAGGGGTGCGCAAGAGGCTGGTACTCATTTGCCTCTGCTGCTTCTCAGTTACTTCCAACAAGATAAAAGTACGGGTGATGCCAGAAGATGATGCTCTCTGGTCTTGCAGAGGTCTACTTGGCAGAGCCTTTGATTCAAAAAAGCACTTAAGCTTGTGCTTAACTTTTATGAGATTTAAGCACATCTAAGTCACCTGAAGTGCTACAATATGTGCTTAATTTAAGATGCACACTTAAATCTTGTTAAGGTTAAGGACAGATTTCTGTGTTGGAGCTTCAGTGGGTGTTTGTTCTTCACATTTATTGGACAAAATGTAAGATTATTTTTTTTTTTAATCTTTCTCTGCTGTTATTTAATGGGGTGAGAGACTCACACTGCCTGTGAGATATCTGCTAAGATACAGAAAGAAAAGTGGAGTTTTAAGGTAGAGTAGTAAAGACTCTGTGTAATCCCTTTGTGAACCTGGTAGTTTGCAGTCAAGTAGTGTGCTCTTCATGGGAAAGAAATCAACAGAATTTCTGTACAGAGAAAGAATACATATCTATTACATAGTTATAGCCCTGTATATGAGTTGTATTGATAATAACTTAACAGAAATGTATAATGCAAAGCATTGCAGTATCTTTTATGATGCATTCATGGTTTTAGATAGCACTTACGACAGGTGAAAAGCATTAGCTGGAGAACGAAAATCTTGATTAACAATTTGACATGCTATTACTAGGACAGCCAAAGAGAATAGAGAATAGAGAATGTAACAGGCTGAGTCCCCAGCTCTCAACCTCCCTAAAAGTTTTCCTTGGCGCTTGCACGTATCTGAGCATATGTATTGTAGGTGCATCAGAGTCCACGTATTTGAACTTGAGCGGCTAAATTAGACCTGCTAAATTTAGATTTAGGTACTTAATTACATGGTCTGCGTTTTTTGAGATACTGAATAACTAGCACATCTTTGAAATGCAGACAAGCTGCCTTTTTCATGTTAAAGACAACACGCAAATTCAAAGCGAACAGAAGAAAATCGCTGTATGCGGGTGCATGGGTAGGAATTGCATAACTGGTAGCTTTTTCCTTCGGGCTACTGCTGGTTCCTCGTCGAGCTCTGACTCTTTTCCCATCTGAGCAGAGGAGCTGTGATGTATTGCTCTATACAGATGATTTCAAGCATATAGAAATGGCATTCCTTTTAACGTGCAGCTCGGTGCTCTGCTCTCGGTAAACCAGTTGGCAAAATTTGCGGGAGATTTCCACCCCCCCCACTTTGTTTGTTTGTTTTTTAATACTTGCTGCTACTTCACTGTCCACAACAGAAGGAGAAGATTTCCACATCCTTGATTTTAAAGAGTATTTTTACTATACTGCTATCTGTCTTTTAAAGTGCAGTATTTTAAAATAAGTTGCCACTTCCTCAGCAGCTGGGCACGTTGGGCTGGCCCTGGCTCTGGAATGAGCCCTGACCTGTGGGTAGTCTGGTTTTGCAGCCCTAGGGAGAATGGTGGAGGGAAGGGAGGTTGTCCCTAGTGAGTGGAAACGGATGATATTCTTTATCAGCTAATGCAACTGGCATGTAAATCCTTACCTCTCGAAACCAATTCCAGTATGTTTTGGGAGCTGAATCCCGCCTTACTCTCTTCTTTATCTGTACGCAACCAAAGCACGATCTGGCCAGTTGTTTGCATTGGCAAAAACTGAAGTCCTCCTCGCTTCCCAAAAAACCTGTCAGCATTCTGTATAAATCACACTAAATGCTGTGGTCCATAGGAGAGGCTGTAATTTGCGTGTTTGCTGGGACGAGAGTGTGGCTTTCCCTGCGCCATGAACCCAGGCTTTGTGAGAAGCTGCGCCATATGGCTTTGGCTGTGTTACGCACGGAAAGGGGCACGGTTTTCTCCAGCCGTTGTTCCTCTGTTCCTGAGGAGCAACTGTCTTCCCCTGCCACGTCGTGGTAGTTCAGTCAAACAGATACGGGGATGGAGAAAATAATCTGTGCCGTGGCTGAGGCCAGAGAAGACACGCTCGCTGTCCCGTAGCTCATCGTCATGTGCTGGAACATCCGTTTCCTCTGATGCCTGCAGTCACCCGTTCCATGAGAGACCAGCGTGGGGATTTCCCATCGCTCTTCAAATCTGCACGAGCGCTGCCTCGTGCACGTGCTGCGAGCGATGCTCCGGCCCACGGCACATCCGTCACGGAGCCCTCAGCATCGCTCATCCGACCCCGCCGAACGCAACGTTTCTCTGAAAGGCTGATAGTTCAGGTGAAGAGTTTTTGTCATCTGCACAGGCACCACGAGAAGGCCTTTCTATTTATTTGTCACCGCTGACAGAAAATAAATAAAACGCTCGATGTGGGAAATAAGCGTGGTGCAGTCTCCGCTTTAGTGAGCGGGGTAACCCCCCACCCCCTCCCTCACGTGCCACATCCTCGTGTCAGAAAAATAGCACGTGTCAGGTTTGATTTGTTTTCCTCCTTTTCCATACTGTCTTCCTCTGGCCCAAACTTCATATTCCACAGCACGTGCCCCGAGTTGCAGTGTCTTGATCAGAGTTTTTTTTGTTACTGCAGGAGATGACCGGTCACATAATATTGCCACTGGATGCTCCAGGGGCTCGTGCTTGGGGTTGTTAAGGGAAGGGGAGAGGAAGAAGATAAGGTCAATAATGCAATTTGTCTGAGGTAATGAAAAGGAACTCCAGTGATTTCTTACCTTTTTAGGCTTTCTGCTAGTGGGCCTGAATTAAAATTTCCTCACTCTTCATTGTTGGCAAAGCAGAAATGCTGGTAAAGCTGTGCTGCTGCCCCTGTGATCTGCAAGGCCCACGTGTTGCTCTCCCTTGCACTGTGCGTTGTGTTTTGGGTTTTTTTGTTGTTTTGTTTTCCTCCACCATAATGTCCAATCCTTTATCCAGTCCACTGCTGGAGTCTGAAGCACTTTTTGTTTCTAAGGGAGGATTGGGACCATCCTCATTGTTTCAAGAACACCCAGTGGTTGAATGTGTCCTCTGTGTGGATGCAGCGGGGGTCCTTGGGTACAGGGCAGGATGCAGCAGGGGTAGCAGTCTTGCCCTGCTCTCACTTTGGGCTGCTGCTAAGTTATTTTTAGGCCTTTTGGGAGTGATAAGCTGCAGGAGAGTCTCTGATCTTCACTTGCGCTCCATGTGCATTTTGGAACTGTAAAGTTAGTAAAATGAGATGCATTATATGCCCTTGAGGGAAATCTTGAAGTCCTGCTTTAGCATCCATAGCGATATAACTCAGCATACGCAACACTGGAACTCTGAATGCTATTTCATTTGTTTTCCTGCAGAGTACAAGTTTATGGCACACAAGTAATAAACTAGGAAAAACCCAACCATGCTGTTCAGGGTAAAAGACTTTTACGCCTGAAGCAGCTAACCAGAAACAAAGTTAAACCAATGGTCATACTAACACATTACAGTTATCTCAAGACTGCCTGTGGTAGTCTTGTAGTGTCACAGAGTATCAGGAGTTGGAAGGGACCTCGAAAGATCATCCAGTCCAACCCCCCAAGTAGAAAGGTTTTATTTTGTTTAATTGGTAATTTGTAACCAAGTAGAGGCTCCTACCTCTTGCAATATGAATCAACTTGGCACTGAATCAGAAATTGCAGAGCCAGATTTCTACAACGGATGTTTTCTACTTAAGTTCCTAAATCTAACTTTTGGAAAAGTCTCATTTTCTGCTTAAGCGTAAGGAAGGAAGGCTTAGATTTCCAGAATCACTCTCTGCACAAGGATGTGTTTTACTTGCAGTACTCGGTAGCTAAACTGTTCTGATATTTTTACTAGTTCACTTAAAGGATTTTTCTCTCTGAAGAATATGGACATAAATTTATGTGCAGAGTGCACTTGGAAATCGCCTAGGGTTTCTCAGGAATTTTTGATGGGGGATTTGTCACTACTGTTGTGTAATAAAGTTCACTATCTGAAAGCAGGTTTTTCCCAACAACAAAAAAACCTCATGAAATCACAGATTTTGAGTGACATGCAGCCTTTTAAGTGGATCTGCTAGAACAGTAAGTAGATACGGAGACATGATAGTCCCCAGAATAAGAAATGCAGAAGTGGAGCAAAGTCTGGTGCTCTGTATTTTGCTTGGGTACAGGCAGGTTGCAACTCTCTGCCCATCAGTATGTTGGTAGCACAGCTAATATTTCACTTGTGCTCCTGGGACAGAGCAGAGTCAGAGCAGTTGCAGCATCTGATGAATCAGGAGAAATGTTTCATTTTAACTGAATATTAACAACGAGCCTACTACAGAAGGGTAAAAACCAATATTATTTGTATGAGAAATACTTCCTGATGGCAGCATGGGCACAGTAATTTTGCATTAAAAGGTTGAAAAATAAAACTCTCCTGTTTGAGAAGTACCTAAGCTGTCCTTTGCACATCAAAAGTACGTGCCAAACAAAAAGGTCTGAGCTGTTAGATATGCATTTAACCAGAGCAGATGTTCACTGCAGTATATTGGACCTGGTCCTTACATTTAGGTGAACTCTATCCTGGCTTTTCTTGTTACTGTGAAGAGTCTTTAAAACCAGTGTTTTGTTAAAAAAAAATAGAGAAAGTAATCAAAACATTCCCAGGAAGAGACCTGAGCACTGCAGCAGAAATAGCCAGGCCTTGCTGTTAACGAGGACATTACGATGTATTATTTTGTGAGCCGCTCCATTTGATTTCAAAGGGGCAAAAGTTACCAGGCAAGGGTTATGAAAATCTCAGTCTCCTTCGTTGCAAGATCTGCAGGCTCTTTGTCCTCAGTTAAATTTCTGTTTTGATACAGAAAATATCACTGGTGTATTTTGCACCAGTATGAGATTCAAAGAAGGATAACTCATACTGAAACTTCTGCGCAGCACTTCCGTGCTAAGGCGGTAAAGGAGAGTTTTTGTGCAGGGAAGCTTCCAATTAAGCAGAAAAAGAAGTTGCTTTGCTTTTTGAGGTACCATTTGACTTACATAGAGTAAAATATGAGAGCTATTAGTAGGAAGTTAATCAGTTCATTCGCCTGGTTTCGGGTTGTATCAGCCAGGCACCGTTCACAGCTTGTGCTGTGAAATCTTCAGCCAGTTGCCATGTATTAAAGATGCTTCTGAAAGGGCCGTGTCTTGCCAATAACCCTGACTCCATTGGTCCACTTCACGTTTCATCTCAGGATTTGTTTACACAACAGCAAGTTAACTTGTGTACTTTAGATCCTGGTGTAGCTAAAGAGCGGTAATATTTCACTGTTATTTTTCCTGGAGGAGACATAGCTGTAATGGATGCGTGCTGAACAATGAACTGTGAAGCTTCAGCAGTATTTTACTGTAATTTAGAGGTAAATATTTGAAATTATACCTTTTAATTAATACATTATTCAACTGTAAAATGATAAATACCTATGGTTTTATTTATTTATTAATTTAGTTCAGTTATCGTGGCAGTTCCCTGGCGCAGGCCTTTATGGAAGGTAATATTTTGCAGCTCCAGCTTACCTTACCTTGTCTGTTCCTGAAGTAACTTTAGATAGATTGATGTGCTGGAGAACAAGGCTTTTCAGGCATTCTTGGTTCTGTCTGCCTTTAGATCTTAAATCTGTAGTTGAAAAGCAACATCTTTTTTGTTTGGTTAGCTGTTCCTCCCCCTCTCCTCACTCAGAAACTTTTTTAATCACTGAGGTTTGACTTTTTTTGCCCTGGTTTAGCTCTAAAATTGAGAAAAGGCTTGATTCTTAGAGTAGACTGAAGATATTTTGCAGTCACATAGTTTTCAGTGTTGAAAAGCAAAAGTAATGTCCTCCTCCTAAGGAGTTCTTCTTTTAATAAAACAATATAGACTTATAAAGTCAAAGAATAAATACACAGATAGCTCTATCTGTGAAATACACACCATGCTTCTCATTATCAGTAGCCTCTGTGTGTGCTGCTTGTCTAATAGGTGTATAGTTTCTGGTGTGTCTGTGCTGCTGTCAGCCCCAAAGACAGGAGAACATTTTAAACACCATCAGGGACTGCCACATAGAGAAGCAATGTATGTAGGTAAAGAATTCTGTGAGCGGATGTTTGGTTTGAAGTGTGATTGGTATCAGCCCATGAATAAAAACTTTTCACAGAATCACAGAAGTGTAAGGCGAGCGAATAAGGATTTCAAGGTTGTTCTTTTGTTATTAGGAAATAGTAATACTGGAGAACTGCTTGCAAACCTACTAGGAAAAGGCAGCAGGAGGAATAATGGGAAAACAGTCTTCTCGAGACGTTGAAGTGAAAAAGGAGGCGGGTACTCAAGTATCTGGAGTGGGCATCAGGCAGCAGAGCTTGAAAGCAGAGGTTTTGCTGGAAAAACAGCAAAATCATCTTCTTATTCAGTTTTTCCTTTTTTCTTGTGCACCCTTCTGTTGGGTAATTGTCTCTTGGGTTAACTGTGCTAAATGTAAAAGTTACTAATCAATGGTGTGAAGGTGTGACTGAAATTACAGTCATCCCACAAGCCTGCAGCTTAAACAAGGAGCAGGCATTGAGTGATTGGACAAAAGTGTAACGAACAGATGAAAGCAGTTATTTACTCAGAATTAAGCCAGTGAGAAAAACGAATTCATGCTGGCTTTAAATAGATTCAAAGGTTATTTAAGGTAATGTGCTGTTGTAGCAGATTCTGCCTGTTGCAAGAGAGGAGCAGACTATCAGTGACTTTGTGGTGAGTGTTCTCATGTCCTCTTTGCCACTGAACTGTAGTGCAGGGGCTATTTGAGTCCTGACCAAAGGCTTTCAGCATCTCTTCAGCTGCCAGTTTATTGAGGAATAATACCCGCTCATATGCGTCCTGCATAATATCAAAGTAGGTAAAACACATTAACTGCATAGTTTTACACAGAGCAGGAGTAAAAGGCAAGACTTTAGACTTGGTAAGAAACTCGCTACCTTCTTTAATGTTGTCATCTTGAAACTGAAGCAATCATTCCTGGATACTGAGAAACGTGTTAAAGGAAGGGGTTTTGCCTGTTTTCTCAGGCAGCGAAAGCAAAACAGAGAAGAAAAAATAACCAAATATTTTTCTACTGCAGTCTCTTTACGTATCTCTGTTATGGACACTTTGAAATTATATAAAAGAAGATAATGGCTAATCAGATCCTTTAAGTATAATGTGGGAGTTTAAAAGGGAAACCGCAAACTCTTTATCAGTTCCAATGAGCTCATGTTCAGCACAGTGGAAGAAGAGCTTTATGCCCTGATTTTTTTTTTCATCATTACTCCATAACATTCTTGGCCAGACTGTAGGAACCTGAGTACGGTGCATTTGCAGTGGTTGCAGATGTAATTTCCACGCATGTGAAGTTGCAGAGATGTGGCAGATAAGGCACATCTGCCTTCTGCCGCCCTCCTGGCGGGACCGTGCTGCTGGCAGTGATTTCAGCCACTGAAGTAAGAATTGCTTGTGGACATCTGTAAGAGGTCTCTTCTGCCCTTTCTTTCCATTTGAATCAATAGACACATGGTGGACTTTACACTGGACACATGAACTACTTGGATGAAAGCAAAGCATTAATTTTGTCCAGCAAGGCAGTAACCGTTTTAAAGCAATTGAAAAAGGCTTTGGAGGGATGAGACAGATCATAGAACATGTTTGTTTTTCACGAGAACTGTGAATTCAACCTCAGGAAGTCCCACCAGGCATTGACCAAGGCTCTGTAATAGGTGATACGCTGAAAAAAATGAATGAGACTGCATACATCTGAAATCAGATGTTGAAGACCTTGTAGAATGGGGGCCCTAGCTGGTGAAAACATTTCAGCATCTAGAGCGCAGCTGCAGCGAAGCGCTTAGGCAAGTGGCCAGCACGAGTATATGCTTGTGCCCTATTGATCTGCCTTGTACCCAGTGGGATGTAAGTAGATGATTCGAGTTGACTGCGTGCCCAAGAACGCTGGAACAAACTGAGTGTCCTCAACAAATGTTGTCAGAGAGTATGGTTTTGATAATACTTCACAAAACCTGCGTTTGTCAGAGGTTTTTCTCTGAATAATAATAAAAAAGAAAATGAGGTTTTGCTGTTATGGACCCCGTCCCCACCGTGCAGGGCAAATATGAAGGATTAACCTCAAAATATGTTTTGCGTATGTGTGTGTGAGTGCATGGGGTGAAGGGAGAGGGTAAGGTGGAGAGTTTCGAGTTTCTGCTTATTTATTTTTTCTGTCAAATAAGTCTTTTGAATGAGTTGTACTTAGAGCACAAATTTCCTTATTTCACTCTTTAATGGTTTGAGATTTTTCTCAATGTTTGCTGCTGCCCAAAGCTTGTGGTCCTGATCCTCACTTACATCGATTCTCTTCATAGCACTCTAGCAATGCAAAGCAGCCTTTAAAAAGGGACTGCAATTAAAGTGTCGTGTAAGCAGAACATTTGGGTTGAAGCAAAGACCTTAACATCTGTCCAAATCCAATTGTTACAGTCAGGTCTAAATACTCGTGTGGATTGGACCTATACTAAACAAAAAGTGCAAAACCATAGAGATAAATACCACAAAACCACAGTTGTGGATTTAAATTTTGAGCAGAGCTCATCCTTTATAAAGGATAAAAGCCTCCAAGGTGGAGAACTTTATGAAAGCCCAAGCTGATGCTGCAGAAGGAAAGAGCCCCAAATCCTTATCGGAGGCTTTGCCCTTTGTGCAAAAGAGATGGCCCCTGACTTCAGCAAGTGCCATGTGGTGGTGGTGGGTGGGGACCATGCCTATGTAGGATGGCACTCTTAGGAAAAGTGGGATAACATCTTCCAGTGTTTCGTGACAACTCTGTCCCTTCCATTTCCCTTCCAGGTGAACGGCCCTTCCACTGTAACCAATGTGGAGCTTCTTTTACCCAGAAGGGGAACCTGCTGAGGCACATCAAGTTGCACTCTGGGGAGAAACCATTCAAATGTCCCTTCTGCAGCTATGCCTGCCGACGGAGGGACGCCCTCACAGGACACCTCAGGACGCACTCTGGTGAGCCCGCCTTGTCTTGTCGTCGCTCTTTTTGCCTTTGTCCTTACCGTTCAAGTGCAGCAGGTTGTCAAAATAACCGTGTGTTCCTGGTGGCTCTGGGTCTGTACCATCCTCAGATAGCGCAGCTCTGAACTTTGGGAAAGCCTTGATGTGAATCACAAAAGTTGTGGTTCAGCCACACCTCTCCTTTTGTATAACTGAGCTCCTCTGCTGATGCTATCGCATTTCCCTTTGAATGTCTCCTTGGGTGTATCCAGGCTTTGCTGGCAGATTGTTTTGACACTCTCAGCCCCGAAGTGGCTGTGAAATTCCGAAGATCACAAAGAATAACTTTATGCTTTTGGAAGCCTGCTCTGCTCTTCAGACCCATTTCTTCATCTAATAAATGCCATATGCTGGTGCAGTTCATGTTTGTTCATCTTTCAAAAACCTCTTAATTGCATTTTTGATTCAGTTTCATATCGCTGTAAAGTCCTAACTCGTGGCAGCCACACCACTCACCTTAGAGCAGAGGGTGGCAGAGAGACATTTGGTCTGTATTGCCTTGCTACTTGATAGTATGTCTGTATCAAGTCTGCTTGATACAGTCTCCTGATGTGTTCTAAGGAAATACTTGTTGTGTAAGTGCGTGTTTGTAGCCACGTTGGTAGCCCTTGATGGTCAGAATCAGATGTGTTTCTAGTCCCTGTGCGCTACACCAAGGGGCTGCATTCTGCCCACTTACTCATTTGTGTAGGAATCTTGAATAAGGTCTTGCTGTGTTTTTTATCTCCAAGGATGCTCAACTTTTGTGTCCAGGCCGTTTATAGGAGACTGTGTTTTTCATTGTTGAATGAGCAGAGATAATTGGACCGGTTACAAGTGACAGCATTACAGATGAACTTTTTCGAGGTGTTAGCAAATGTGTGACTACTGAAACACAGTGGTTGAAGTACAGCTGCAGACAGAAACTCCGCATGTGAAAATGTAATCGTGGAGTTTCCTGACTTTTTATATGCATTTCTTCTACAGGGTCGGCCTCACTTCAGTAGAGGTTTCTGTTTTATGAGCATTAGATTGGTCTTAGGCTACAGACTTGCCTTGACATTTCCAAGGATCAGAAAGGATAAGATAGTAAGCTTCTCCAGGTAGACTTTGGATTGATGCAAGTGCACTGCTGACAGAAAGCATAAGCTTCCAGGGGAGTGCAAGTGTTGGGACTAGGCTGAGAGAGAATTGCTTGAGAGTTGTCAGCTGAAAGGATTTGATCTGAAAGTCAGAAGGGAAAGTCTGTGGAACTGGGAGGTGCAATTTTCACACATCTGACCGTAACCGTCGTTTCAACTTGAAATGTAATGAAAAAGAAAACACGATAAAAATGTTCACAATTAAAATAAAAAAGGGAGTTGTGACATAAAATAGCCCACGTTACAAAACACGAACGTTGCGGTTGAAGATTGTTTTTGTAATGCGAATATAGATTTTGTTACCTGGATACAGCCATTGATAGAGATTGTTTGTTATTCTTGTCTGAAAAGTACGCGCCTGATGTTTCTGCTTTTTGCATGAGGATGAAATGTAAAGGTGTGGGATTTTCAGAAGGCACCTAAGCTGCTTAGGGACACGAGTTCCCCTAGAGCTGCTTCCCTAACTGGCTTAGCTGTGTTCAGCTGTGCTCCGTTTGTAATTTTATGTTTTGTTTTCAGTGGAGAAAGTGTCACCCCCTAAACAGTTGGCTACAACAGGTTACACAGAGGGCCAGCAGGAGCAGACGAGTGCTCCCACAATACTTTCCAAAGCGGTTCTTAGAGCAGCACTCACAGGTCAAGAGTGAAAGACCTGAGACATTGCCCTAAAACCGGGCACCCAACTGCACCAAGGTGAAATGCCAATCTGAACGTTAAGGTGTCTTTCTGCCTCTGCCATATAGGCAAGTTTGGCTGGTTTATGCATGCATATGTGAACTTGGTTCATGGAGAAGATGGAGAGATGTTCCCTAGAGATTTGAAACAGCTTCGTGTCAGTGTACTACGCAAGCACTTCCTGCTTTAATGAAGTATGCATCAAAGTCTGTCAGTAGACCTTGGTGGCATAGCAAATCTAGTGAACTTGATCAAATGTTTACATCATCTGCTATTTCTGACCACAAAAGAGGATATCAGATAAAATATAGAAAGGAGAGGTTGAAAACTATTTTGAAATATGAGAATTCAGTCTCATTCCAGTCTGGTACTCTCAATGTATAAATTGAGGTGAGTCTGAATGTGGTTTTATATTTTATATTTTCAGCTGATAGAGATGGGAATTACATCCGTATGTAAGATACATGTATTACATCTACATGTATCTGGCACACGAATTCAGAAATGCAAGACCAATTTCCTTTTTTACATTGTATGTCCTTTTCCTCCCAGGAAGGTTTTCAACGACTCATTTTTTCTGGAAGGCAGAGTATACAAGAAAGGAATTGAAGAATTTTTTTAATATCTTTTTTTTTTTTTTCCTCCCAGCCAGTTTGATCGGTGAATTTGAAAGCACTTTGTTTGTGTCACCTCTGAGGCAGTTCCACCCTCTCACTGCTGCCAGTTAGTCAAGTTTTCCTGTGCTTAGCGCAGGGTTTTCATACAGTGAGACAGGAAAGGTGAAAAAATAAGGAAATGTAATTGCAAACAGAAATTAGCAGGAGTATCTCTGAGATATTTGAAATAGCTGAAACCACTATTAACTTAAAAAAAATAATTTGTGACAGCTTCTTTTTTTTTCCTTGCTTTGGACAGATTGTTGTTGTTGTTGTTCATGCTTTTTTCCTTCCTATTTATTTGAAAATGTTTGTAAGCATCACAATCCACGTTTTACCTTCCCTTCTTGCACAGAATAATATCTTCCTATATGAGTATTCCCAGGACGAGTGGTTAACAGAATATTACTTTGCTTCCATAATGCTGCTGCTGTTTAACCCTAAATAATTAAGGACTTATCTTGCAGTGATTTACTCCTGCGATTATTTACCTTTTACTGACACAGGGAGTTCTGATGAACTTTGTCTATCTTTTCCTCCCACATGCAGCTTCTTTGATTTCAGGAATATAATGATGCCTTCAGGACATCAGTAGGATAACGCCTGGGGAGAGATGCATGCACAGAATTACACTAAGAGTAGGCATGAGCCTCAAGGTACTTACAGGTTTTCAGGATTAACTCTCTAGTTCCACAACACAGATAACACAGAAGAGGTGCAGGAGCGGGCTTCCAGGACTTGAGTGTAAGAACAGGCTGTGGACAGCTAGGGCAGAAGTTGGTAGCGCTTTCCTGCAGGATGGGTTTGACAAACCAGCAGGGATTGAGTTCATCTTGCCTAGCTTTTGCTGTTTTTAAAAAGGAAAACCTCCAGGCAAAGCCAGCCTCCCGATGACAGTCACAGAGTACCTGCTGTCACACCCCGACACATGCCCATTTTCTCCAGCATCTCCAGAACTGCACAACAAGACACAGGCAGATACCAAACAGATGAGGTGGATTCTACTGTAGACAATTAATGACCCAAAGCCAGAAGTTTTGTGGAAGACAGGTAATCTGACAGATCAGTCTGATGCTTGAAACACCTAGAGGTTGATCTCCGTACTTTGAAAGATACGTCGTACAACGCGATGCTGTTGTACCCTGAAAAGCCAGGTGTCCTCAAATGGACACCTAAAGTCAGCAGTTATGCTTGGACATGAATTTCTCTTGTGTCTAAATTGGAGCCAAGTCAGCCCTCCCCTCGTAGTGCTATTGTAAACATAAATGCTTTGATAGTTCTTAAGAAAGTCAAGGCTGCAATGATGAGCAATGTGGAAGAGCCCATAAAAAACATCAGTGTGTTCGTTTTCCGAGCAGGGCTTGTGCAGTAAGCTGTAAATGAGGGATAGGATCACTTGTGAAGAGGAAAACAAAGCACAGAATAGGTTTTCATTCGGTGAGAACCATCCATCCATCCTTTGCATTAAGCAAGGATGGTCCCATGGGCAAATTATTTTGTGATTTTTGTGATTAAAAGAATGCTTCATCATGCATACAGACAAACTGGCCACACGAAGCCTTCTCAGGCAACCTTCATCCTGGACTTTCCCGATTTTTCTCTTTATCTTGGCAACTTCAGTCATGTTCCCTTACTGTGGGAGGATGTAAGTGTTATTCGTATATGAAAGCAGTTTTACAGTTTATTTCTTCCTTAAAAATGGGTAGTCAGATCGTTATTTTTTCCTGTCACACAAACTTTTCCTCACAATACGTTTTAAAATTTGCTTCCAAGCTACTTCTTTCCTGTTGAGAAAATGCTTTTTTTCCCCCTTTTCTGCTCTTAACAAATATTTGCTTTTTCCTCCCCCTCTTCTTCCTGCATTGCTGCTTCACATTGTTACTGCCCAGCTCCCAGCTCTTCAATACCACTGAACTAATGGTATCATTTTATTTGCAAAAGAAAAGCAGTGAAGCATTTGTTTTGAAAAGAAAGGCTTAGGCAAAAACTCCCAAAAGCACAATCTTAGCAAACTATGTACAGTGTGCAAGATAAAAGGCATGCATAATTAAAAAGGTAAATGCCCCGTTCATGGAAAGGTAGTTTAGTAACTCTTTCTGTGTTTCTTCGTTTGCAAGTCTATCTTTCTCATCTCTTCTTCTCCATAAGGACTTTCTTCTCAGCTCCTCCTGTGTGGTAGTGAGCCATTTGAGATGTCCTACGTGTCTGCAATTGCATGGCTGTTGTCAGCAGAACCGACAACTCCTATCTGCGTGTGTGACTCTGCTCAGAGACAGGAGGAAGCTGGTTCCTAATTCTGACAGTGTGCCTGCCTCCGTACGTGTTTGGGAGAGTCACCCCACCTGTGAGGGTCTCAGTCCAGCTGAAAAATTGGATGAAGAAGCACAGTGCTGGAAAACACAGTGCTGTGTATGAAGTCCTGCCTGTCAAAAGCCACTGAGACAGTGGCAAGGTTGGTTATTAAGAATGATGAAGAATCAGTGTTTTAAACTGCCTGTTTCAT